TAATCGCATCTCCTCTCCGAAATTGTCCATTTTTGTGCGCAATCGGAGCGCGAATTAGGCAGAAATTACTGTACTCCGACGATTCACGCTCGTCGACGCGATTATTCGAGCCTCGCGGCTCGTTTTTATAATTCTTGACAATCGGTAGCTACAAAAACGAGTTACAAGGTTCCAATAATCGCATCTCCTCTCCGAAATTGTCCATTTTTTTGCGCAATCGGAGCGCGAATTAGGCAGAAATTACTGTACTCCGACGATTCACGCTCGTCGACGCGATTATTCGAGCCTCGCGGCTCGTTTTTATAATTGTTGACAATCGGTAGCTACAAAAACGAGTTACAAGGTTCCAATAATCGCATCTCCTCTTCCGAAATTGTCCATTTTCGTGCGCAATCCGAGCGCGAATTAGGCAGAAATTACTGTACTCCGACGATCCACGCTCGTCGACGCGATTATTCGAGCCTCGCGGCTCGTTTTTACAATTGTTAACAATCGGTAACCATAAAAAAGAGTCACGAGGTTCGAATAATCGCGGCTCCTTTTCCCAAATTATCCATTTTTGTGCGCAATCTGAGCGCGAATTTGGGAGAAATTACAGTAAAGGCGAGTGACCATCTCAGAATAAAGCACTCGAGTACGAAATACAGTACGAAACCGATTCGTTTTATGGAAGTAATTATCTGACAGTAGTCCTATTTTAACTCGATACTCCGCATACAGCTGGGCAAGACAAGGGCGGGCGAAAAGGGCCCGACGAGTCCCGCGTATACGAAACTGTAGAGCAACAGTCGAGAGTTTTGCTCTGAAACGGACACTCGTCTCAACTCTCGACGATCGGACGATTAGATTTAATTACTCTATTGCTTTCGGATCGCTCGGCTCTTCGTCCCGAGTAGCGAGACAAGCGGTCCCGATCGGGCCGGTTAAAAATAGTCGCGCGCGGATTCGCTGCTCGCTCGTTCCGACCGGCCCACTTCCCGATAATTTCTTCCATAAATAACCTTCGATCCCAAAGTTTCCGTCTGACCCTGGCGCTAAAAATAACGCCGCGATAACGTCATTGTACGCACGGTGACGTCACGGTATTCGAGCCATTTTTCGAATCGCCTTTTCGCGCGACGCTCCGCGACGAACGGTCCCCGCGATTTTCTGCCAGCTGCTTCGTTACAGCGTCGACGATTTCCGTGGAAGAGTCGGCGGCGATCGCTTTCGCGAAAATCGCCGAGCCGCGACTGTGTCTCCGAAGCTGAATGAACGCGACGCCGCGGCTGTGAATCACATACGCGAAGTCGCAACATTGTGGGCACGTCTGTGGCACGGGAGACGGTCGCGCGCGGCGGGCCAGACGAATTCTACAAAAGGGACAGTCCACGGATGTTAGCGCGGCCGTTTGTCATAGGCGGCGGTATCCTAATTGGAAGCAACCGGCTAATCTTAGCGCGGACGGAGCCCAGAATAGCTCGGGCCCAAGGTGATTTAAGCCGACGGTCCGTCTGCGGCCGAGCTTTAATAGAGACAGTTCGAATTAGGAATGCGTGTTCGAACGGATCCGAGCCGAATAAGCGGCGTCCACTTTGTTCGAGCGCAACCGGTTCGATTCGGTTCGCGCTGCAATGAACACGTTTCTAGATCCTGCTTAGACGAGCGCGTCACGAGCTTCGGACCTAGGATAATCTACGGCTTCAGATACGCTAAGCCCGCGATAATTCACGGTCGCAGCCGAGATAGCGAGGCCTAACCTAGGGCTAGACCGGCTCGACCTTAGGCTAGCTGATCCCTAGGATTTTCGAATTTAGGGTCGAGATAGCTGTGACACGATTTCCATGGATATTTCACTGGAACTGCTCTCTGATCACAGAAGATCTACGTTGAAATTTCCTGTCTGCGACTAAAAAAATTTTGTATCAGCAAGTCGAGTAAGCGACTGAAGAATTGTCCATAAATATTGTCCGAATCAGAAGATGGGGAAAATATATTTCTTCGTTCAACGAGTAGAACATGTTTTTTTATTTTTTTTATTTATTTTAGGGGAAACCCTTTGTTAACCATGTATTCTTAAATTCTTGTTATGTTACGTATACAATTAGCTGACAATTTAACCCTGTGGGATCTTCAGTCACAAAATTTGTTACCCCTTGCCATAATTCGATTAGTCTGAATGGTGATGGAGATTTGCAATAGAAAACTGTTACGCATGAATGTTACGCAATTCTTTTAACATCAAACATTTAACTATTTAAATAGTTAAACATTAAACATTAAACAACATTAACATTAACTAACATGCCGATCGAAAAATGTCTGGTTTCCCATTTTTAATTTCAAAATCGTTGAAATTATGAAGTTTCTATTGTAGGAAATGATCGAATAAATTGCTTAACCCTTTAATGCAGTTTTTTTTTAAAAAGGCCGGCCAAAAAAAATCAATTTTTTTAATGTAAAAAAACACAATTTAGAACGTTGTCTTGGCAAGAAAATTACAAAAATACAAAAATAATCAAAATTTGTATTGCAATTTTGGATTTTGATAAATTATTATTATTATTATTATATTTTATTTTACGTTATATTTTAGTAAAATATATATTGAAAAATATGCGAATCAGAATCTGAATATGAATACGCTGTCGGAAAGCGGCTCACAAGGAAGAGATAAGTCGTAAGTGTGATAAGTAGAAAAAGGATATATTTTATACTTGAATAAGTAAGTGTTGTAGCTTACAATCCCATGTAAATGATAAATATCAATAAAACGATTGTTTTTTTTTGCTTTCACATTGTTATTTTCAATTCTCGATTGCATTCGAGTGTGAAAAATTATAGCAACATAAAGTACAACGCCGCTCGAATTATCTCGAGTGTGCACAGTTTGGCCAGTTTAGCGCGCTCGAGTTAACTCGAGCGCGCACGTTAAGGGGTTAATTCAAGCGATTCGGTAGGTTCGACGAAAATTATGTATTCTCGTCACCAATAGGCAAGCATACAATTAAACATAGGCACACGATGAACACAAATGTGCTTTTTCTTCTACTAAATTCAAAAACTTATGATCATTAGCGAAGACAAGGAGTTCAAGCCAAAAGTTACCCCGAGCAACCGAAAGTTTCGTTGCTCGACGATCCAGGTGGTCGGGATCGAGACCCAGGAAATGGAGATCGTTTTGGAATTGAATTAGAACCGTGTTGGCTCGGATCGGCTGGTCCCGGGGGCCGAGACAAAGAGCGCGGCGGAGGGTCGAACGTGAAGACGATATGCTAATTTTTCGAAGCCCCGAAGCGGGGTGATCGCGTGTTCCCCGACGTCGCGGGTTCGAAAGTTCCGAGATACAGACGGCGAACCACCGAACCAGCCCGTAATTATATTGTCACGCCGCGGGTGTTCAATTTGTCGGCACACATCCGCCTCCCCCGCGTTCGTCAACCAGCTCTCCGGCTGCGCTCCACCTTCGACAACTTCAACACTCCCGGCCTTCGTCACCCTACAACCCCGCTGTTCTCACGCGGGACGAAGCCCTGCAGCGACCGGCGAGAACAACAACAACCGCCGCGAAACAGGTTCGCGAATAAGATTTTCTGCGACTCCAGAACCGCGAGGTCGGACACGCGTATCCTCGATATTGCTTCTCAATGATTTCGACGGGCGACCGTCGTTCGATGAGCGCCGGTTCAGCAAAATGGGAGAGGCTCGACGACGAGGGGCGGGGATCATCTTTACCGGAAGAGTGGAATCTTCGAACCGGTGCAGGGAAACCGAGAAGCTGATGTCGACTGGTCATGTTAATTATCTTTCGAGATCACGAATTGATATGGGTCGGTCCGTGAGATCGTGCGGTTTTAATTTCGATTGAAATTTCCAGCCCGGTAATTGTATAAATAATATAATTGTAGTAGTCGTATAAGTAATATAATTATATATAGCTATATATAGTTATATATATATATATATATATATATATATATAATTATATTACTATGTATAGTGTTATATATATATATATAATTATATTACTAAATATAGTGTTATATATATATATATAATTATAT